AGGGAGAATAAGTTAATCCTCTGTAGTCCACTACTTAAAGTTGTTTTCTTATGGTACTTAGAGCAGTTAAGCTTTGTCATTTCAAGATTTGTGATTGTAATATTTTGTTGAACTCTATCAGCTGTGTTTATGTTGATAAATGTAGCCTGTGTGTTTTTCTTGCGCTTCTGTTTGGGTGGATGTGGGTTGTTTTTTTTTTTTCTTGTTTTTATTTTTTGCATGCTAGACTTTAATTGCATCTTTCCTGAAAAAGATCACCAGGGTAGAAATGCTGACAGAGCCACAGCCAGCACTGCCATGAGGAAGTACACATTACAGCAGTAAAACAAGAACAGCACCAGCTGTTATGGTGTAAACTACAGAACACTTTCTGATTCAGCCTTTACTAAGAACTTCTACCATTTAATTTCTAAATTTCAAGTGCTCTTGTAGCCTAACTCATGGTGTTGTAACAGGCTTTTAAAATAACAAAGCTGATACAGCAACATAGCTGCTGTTCTAACGTGTCACATGTCATCAAGGAAAGAAATTCTAATTAAAGAATGCATTGTCCTAACATTCATTTTCTTCCCGTTGGTCTCTTGGAATGAGCCATTATTTGGGAAGACTAACATATTTTTACAGTGATTGCTTTGATATGAAGGTTATGGGATGCTTTTTAATCCAGATCTTTAGTCTCTGCTAGAATGTGAAGCTTTACAGTGGCCATTACATACTGTGTCTGATCCTGTCTGTTCCATGTTCTCTTCCTTTGCAGGCTTTAAAAGCCATAATCGCATTTGACACTGCAGGCCTTGCTCTGGGCTGGAGATTTTTTGACCATGCAGCACATCTAGGGGGAGCTCTATTCGGAATGTAAGTGTCACATTTAAATCCCTCCTAGGCAATTTTCACCCCCCCGCCCCACACACACACCCCTTATCTCTGAAGTTTGGGGATTATTGTTATTTATTTATTTTTGTAAGTTGTCTTGGATAGCACTGAAGAGGAGTCAGTGTTATTCTTAGAATGTCTTAAAATTGTGTGGAAAAGTACTGTTATCAGATTCTTAGAACTGAAGGAAGTTGAGCTGAGCTGTCCTTGGTTAGATGTCTGACTGTCCTGTCGCTGTAAGGTGGGCTGGCTTTCTGTTTCTCTGTCCTGCTCTCCCCAGCACACTGAGGAGTCACGGGGCAGAACAGATTCTCACAAAACATGGTATAACAAATTAAAATGCTTCTGGAGTTGAACAGTTGAGAAAATTCTTGTGTCTGAAATGTTTATTTCTGATTACCAATTTAGAGTTGAATGAATATGAACTGAGGCAGCATTCTTCAAGCAGCCCCTAATGCTGTGTTTCAGTGTTGCTGCTTTTGTATTTGTCTGCAACCTAATTGTGAAGGACTACTAGAAATGAGTTTGTAGCAAACAGTTCTGCATTGTTCCATGTTTGAACCACAGTAGCTAATGAGTTTTTCCCCTTCTTGCACTCACTGTTGTCTTAACTTGCACACACATTGCTAAGAGTGTTTTTAAACACAGGCTAAAAGCCTACCTGATGTCTAAGTAGACCAGATAAAGAATGAGTTTATAGCTTGTTGTGTGAAGTGTGTCCAGTGGGTTTATTCTGCAGCATTCCTTAGGTTATCAGGGAACCTGGGATCCTGTGGAAATGTGTAGAACGTTGTTCCTTCCACTTTCCCTGAGGTCAGAGAGCACAGTGATTACTAAATGTTTGTTCTCACAGTGCACCTGAAAGCTGTAGTCTGGTTGGAGGATGCTTACTTTGGTCTCCAGGCAGGTTTGCCTTTGCTTCTGCTCGGCAAAAAGTTTCACTCTGCACAGCCTGCTTTCCTCCCCTTCTCAGTTTCTCACAGTAATACAGATTCACTTACTCGTGGCTGTCCAACCTTTTGGCTTGCCTGGGTGGCACTGAGGGATGAGGAACTGCCTTGGGCTGCTTATAAGTAGGTCACTCCAAAAGTCATACATCCTCTTCGTTTCCATGGAAACTACAACAGATACAAAGCACAGTAATGCTATTTGATGGAGCAGATTCTCAGCTACAAAACATTCTTTTTCATATTCCTCTCTGGTAAGGGGAGGTCTTAGAAGAGTCTGGTAAAGAGATGTGATCAGATTTTTCCTTGAGATGAATAACTGTTGCAACTCTGTACATTGCTTTGAAAATTTGCAGGTAATGTATTTATGTCACCCAAAAATGCAGTCATAAATATACCAAAAAATTGATGCTTTTTTCAGAGTAGCAGTTGCACTCAAGTTTTACAAGCATCTTTCCTTCTCTCTTATGTATATGTTCTATTCAGTGATTATTTTGTTACGTGGTTCCACCTCTCCCCCATCCTCTCCTCCATAACCTCCCTTGTGTAATCACTTACACAAATCCACATCAGTATCAGCATGAGTATAAATCAATCCAGAGTGCTCCAGTAGATCAATTCTTTATTTCATTGCAGAAAAAGCTATTTGAATGGAGTGTGAGCAGTTATAGTGAGGGAGTTTGCATTGTGCTTATGTACAAGAATACCTTTTACTTAGTGTTTACTTAGGATTAACACAAGTAACTTTACATTTAAGTGTTACATGAAAGTATTTTTTTGTATCTCTTTAAATTATGTCACTAAGGCTTGAAATTAAAGGCATGAAAGCCATTTATGTTGAAGACTGTGATACACAAGAATGTTAGGAAGTTTTCTTGGAGTCAAGAGGACAAGTGGCTTAGCTAACATTGCCACTTTCCAAAAATGCTACTTCTGCCTTGGTTTATCTTGTGTGCTATTGCAAGCAGTTATTTGCCTTTAGCCGTAGGTCTGTTCCTCGGCTGCAGAGAGAAGTTGCAATTAGTGCTGACTGGCATTTCTTTCTCAGGTGGTACGTGACTTACGGCCACGAGCTCATATGGAAGAACAGAGAGCCACTGGTGAAAGCCTGGCACGAAATGAGGACAAGGAATGCAGGAAAAGGAGGTGGAAGATCTAACTGACCCTAATCCCACTGTGCGACTGCCATACTGAAGGGATGAGATTGGTTTGGGAGGGTTTTTTTGCTACTCCACATTAGAAACCTCAGCTTCTTAGAGGCCCGACATTAACTTCAGTTATAGAAATGCCTATCGCTAGAAAAGGAACTCTGACAAAGGTGGAACAATAAAGTTTTTTAGCCTATTTCTCTGAGCCAGCAGTCTGTCTTACTTTTTTTTTAAGGAGCAATGAAAAAGCTGTCCAATAAAGTGGCTGAAAGTTCTGACAAAAAGACTTTTGATGTTTGTACAGTTGCTTAATACTTGGGAAGATAAATGTTTGCAAATCTGAGGGATCATCCCTGACAGATCATCCCCTGCTGCCCATTGCTGGCTGTTTTTCTAGAAGGTGTGGGTTAGACATGGCATGGCAGGACTCGCAGTAAGGCTAAGTGCTGAACTTCCGTGGCCTTTATTGCTGAAATATTGCCTGCTGGGTGAGATAAGCCAGTGGTCTCCTCTGGGCTGAACCTGAGGTCGTGGAAGCAATACTGAATGGTTTGTACAGGTAGCAAGGCCTCCATGCTGGTTTATTCCTCGGCTCATTCAGCTTGTCTTAATTTGCCTGCTTCCAAGATGCTGCTGTATATTGCTAGACTTCACTGACAAAGAATCTTTTATCTCTTTCATAATTACATACAGTGGAAAAATGACTTACAGTATGGTTTTAGATATTTCACCATGAGCTTTCACTGCACTGCTTTGTCTGTTTTAACTCCTGCTCGTTTCCTGTAAAAACTTTGGAGGAGTAATATTTGATTCAGAATCTGCTGTTAAGCTTCAGCAAAAATGGAGGAGCACAAGATCAGTACTGCTATAAGCAAAAGCAACTGCCTGAGGAGAATGGTTTGTGGGCAATGTTCCCCAAATACAAATGAAAGCAAAAATTGGATTTGGGGTATGTTTGCAAGGGGCAAAAGCCTGCTTGGATAGGAGCAGGTGGGGGCCAGGCCTTCCCTAGGCTGCACCATCCTGCCAGGTGTGCTGACCTGCAGCACGCTGCATCTCCAACTGCAGGCCATTGCATCTTTTTTTACACTAGAACACTCTTATGTGGATAAACTCTGCTAAACAGCAGTGAGTGAGCTCTGATCCTTTGCTTCTCCCTCCTGTCCTACCTCCCTGTGACCCCGAGGACTGAGCAGGCTGCTTTGCAGGGCTGTGAGCCGGCACAGCTCGATGCTCAGCGCCGGCAGCAGCAGATGGCACCGGGCGGGCGGTGCGGGAGGGCGCAGCGCTAAAAAGCCGTGGCTCGCGATGCCGCCGTTCCCCTTTTAGAGGCTGTTCAGCGTCTGAGTTTTCTGTGCTGGCGGTGCAGGAGCACGTAGCGCTTGCGGGACGCTATAAAGGCGCTCCTACTGCCGAGCGGAGAGTTTGGTGTCATTTTGTAGCTGAGCCTTTACGCGGCGTTGTCCGCCAAAGCCCGGCAGCCTTCTCTGCTCCGCAGCTGTCAGACTGCGAGGGGAAGGTGGGTGCTGGAGGGTGCGGTGGGGCAGCCCGGCACGGGATGGCGGGGCACGGGAACGGGAACGGGGCGGTAAGCAGCGGGCGGGTGGGAGGGGAGAGGCCCACGGTGCGGGGAAGGCTTTCTTCCCTCTTCTTCAAAGAGCTCGTTGTTGCGATGAGAAACACAACGCGGTAATCGCGCAGCTGCTCGGCAGAGACGGCAGGCAGCGTTTGTGCGGGGGGAAAAACAACAGCGTCGAGTCACGGCTCAGCGTGAAAAGCCGCAATTGTTCGCATTCCGCGCATGCAGGCGGGCTGCGGGGCGGCGCGGTGCCCGGGGCAGCTCCGTGCGGGCTGGAGGGGGAGCCGGGCAGCAGCGCGTCCCGCCGCACCGCCCGTCCGCACCGCCCGCCCCCCCGGCCGTCCCGCCGCGGCCCCGAGCGCTGCTCAAACGCCCCCCCCGGACCGGCACCCCCCGGGGTCACGTGTGCGGCCGCGATCCCGGCGCGGGGGCGGCGGAGCGGGGAGGGGGCGGCGGGAGGAGGGGCGGCCGCGGGCGGCCATGGCCTGGCCGTGCATCAGCCGCGTGTGCTGCCTGGCGCGCTTCTGGAGCCAGCTGGACAGGTCGGACCTGGCCGTGCCGCTCACCATCCGCAACTACTCGGACATCGAGGAGCAGGAGGACGCGCCCGCCCCGCCGCCGCCGCCGCCGCCGCCGCGCCCGCCCGCCGCTGCCCCCCGCCCGCGGCCCGGCCCCGCGCGCGGCTCCCCGCCCGAGCCCTTCGCGGCCGAGACGCAGTACCGCCGGGACTTCCGCGCCTGGCCCCTCCCGCGCCGCGCCGCCCGCCCCTGGGTCAGCGCCGGCAGCGGCGGCCACCGAGCCACGGCGCCTCCGCCCGCCCCGACCCGCGCCGTCCGCGCCCTGCCCGGCATCGGCCGCCCGGAGCGGCGCCCGCGGGCGGACGGCGGCCCCACCACGTCCTACAGGTACCGGCACCGCGGGGGCGGCGGGGCGGAGCGCGGGCGCTGCGGGCGGGCACCGCGCCGGGGAAGCGGCCGTGGCGGCGCCCCGGGAGCTGCCGGAGCCCGGGGCGGCGTCACCGCGGCGGTCGGGCCGGGGCCGCGGTGCGCTCGGAGGGGCGCGGGGAGAAACCGCTCCGCTCCGCGCCGCCCGCCGGCTCGCCGTGTCGGTTGGCTGCGGCCGCGGTTCCCCCTTCGTGGCAGAGCGGGATCCTGCGGGAAAGGAAAGCTCTGGTGGGGCGCGCGGCTACGGCGGTGCAGCCCCGTGCCGTTCGGGCTGCAGCGGTGCGTCGGTGAGACTTCGCTATGCAAGTCCTGCTGCAGCTCGCTCTGCGCTCCTTGTCCAGAACGGGAGGAGGCTGAGCCACGCAGACCTGTGTGTTTCCTTTACGCGGTGCAGACACTGTGCTAACACATCACAGCAACCCGTCGCACCCGCTGGGCTGGCCCACCACACTGCCCCATCGTGCTGACACATTGGTCTGAGCCGCCAGGCTTACGGGGCACTTAGCAGAAGGCAAACACCCCGATAGCCATTCTTGGGACTTTTGTGGGAGTCTTCCCAGAGCCAAAAGAAAGGTAAAAGTGGATATTTTTAATTACGAACGAATAATCTGCCCGAAGGGTGGAAGGACAGTGTGGCAGCCTGCTCTTCAGGGCATTCCCTGCATCCCTGGCTTTTTGCATGGAGCTCTACAGGCTCAAAATGAGTCAGTGCTCTGCAAGGGGAGCTGGGGCACACAGGATAGGCAGAGGGATGGGGCTGCACAGTGCAGTGTGGTTCATCATCAGCTTCATCCCTGATCCAGCAAGATACTGAAACACACCTATCCCGAATAACAGAAGTAAAGCTCTTCTAACCAAGGCTCAGTGTTTTCTTTATGCCCTTAGGTGTCTTGCTGCCTGGGAAAGTTGGTCCTGCAGACCCTGGCCTGTCATGCTGTTTGGGGAGTGCAGGAGCTGGGCTGGCTGTAGGGCTGGCTGTAGGGCTGGGTGCTGGGCTGACTACACACTGCAGGGCTCAGTCAGGGGAATGAGGCAGAGCCATGTGAGGACAGCGGGAAGAGGCAGTGCCAGCATGGGCTGCTGCATTAAGTGAGGAGGTACCCAAACCTACATTTGAGGAAAAAGGGAAGGAAGGAAAGATGGGAGAACCACCTCCTGGAGCCACCTTTTCCTGAGGCGTGAGCAGCTCCCAGCACTGCCTGACATCACTATGGCGATGGCTGAGACAGAAGCAGCCACCTCTTCAGCTTTCCTCCTCCTCACTCCCACATGCGGGTCGTACCCTCCGGCTCCATCTCTCCCACCCCCTCTCTTCCCTTCCCTTCCCACTCCCACCCCGGCTCTCACCCAGCAGGATCCCGCAGCTCAGTGCCCTGCTGGCAGGGATCCCGGGCTGCACACACAGCTTTGAGTCTGAAGGGAGAAAAGGTGAGAAATGTTCAGAGCTGCTGAGCTCTCTCTGGTGTGCCAGCTGTCAGCAGAGGAGTGCGGTGGAGGAGGAAAGGCCGGCTCACGGAGCTACCCCTGCTCTGCTAGCTGAGCTGTCTTCTCTGTTTCTTAATGAGGAATGGGACCATAACGCAGTGGCTCAGACCGCCACTGGTTACTAATTGGGCAAATAAACCGTGCCATAGAGATGAGGTACTGAAATGCCGACTGTGATGGAGGAGTGTTGTAAGTGCTGGGCTGCAGGGCATGGAGGCAGGCCAGCACAGAGCAAAGGGCTTCACAGCACACACTGTCACTCTGCAATGCCCAGCGTGGCAGGAGTCACCCTGCTGCTGCTCTGAGCACCCCAGGTGTGCTGCCAGGTGCTCCTTGCAGAAAGGCTGTGCTCCCAGGGCACTGCTCGGCCCGGAGCTCCTCCTGCAGAGATGCTAACTTCATCTTCTAGCAATAATTTAGTTGATTTGCTGATCTGTCCCCAGGTGAGGTGCACCCCGAGGCTGTACTGCACAGCTATGAATCAGCCAAGGATTCAGCAGAACTGTGAGACTGGAACTGTGCTTAGGAATGAAGTGTAGGCCAGGCAGTGAGCCAGGAATAACAGAGAAGTCGGGGCAGCCCATCAGCCCCACGCATCTCCGGGCTTTTTGAGCTTCAGGCCTCTAGGCTCCATTCTTTTATTCCCTGTTTAGATAAGCTCAGCACTGTGAGCAATAACTAATCTGCCTTCTGGCTTTGCAGCAGCTCTGAGCAGAGGCAGTCAGTGAATCTGTTGTGTTTTATGGGCTCTTTTGTCTCGACCATCCTGTTTCAGGCAAGAATATCGCCCTTGGACTGGAGCGAAACCATCCAAGCCCATAAAGACGAAGCAAGGCTTCATTATCCCAGATGACCATTTTGTTCAGGAGACAAGTTACAAGGCAGACTATAAGGTAATAAACACGTTTTTAATCCCAAAGTCAGTGTGGGTAAAGCCCAAAAATGCACATCTGTTACGGGAGCGAGGTGTGCAGAATGAAGCCGTGCCCCACTGCTGGGTGCCCAGCCCTGGCTTCCAGGAGGGACAGCCTGCAGCCCGCTGCACCCAGCCTGAGAGCGAGGCGTGCATAAAGCAAATCTTTGCCTTGGAGAACACGAGGAAGAAATGTTTAATCAGCAGATGGCAAAGTACAGCCTCCGCAGAGGATGGGTATGTGCAGCAATACCCACGGAAAGTGGGACACTTACCTCAGGCAAAAGAGAGCATTTGCAAACCTCACCGATGCTTCCCCTGTGCTCTGTGCTCTGAGCTGGGCTGAGGGGGTGTTGGCAGCGGGGGCTGCAGGGGCACTGCCTGTGGAGGAGCATCTCTGTGCTGTGCTGCAGTGTGGTACTGTGCAGCAGGCAGCTGCAAGACAGCCTGCAGGGCTGCCCTGCTGGTTACGAACAGAGAAGGACTGGTGGAAGATGTGGAGGCTGGCAGCAGTCCTGGGCAGAGCCACCGTGAAATGGCAGTTCTTTATTCTTGATGAAGTCAGGAATTGGGCAGCCAAACATATTTTAGTAGGAGATACTGGTGGTAGGTGGATGGTGGGACCGGATGATTGTGAAGGTCTTTTCCAACCTTGGTGATTCTGTGATTCTAAGGCATGCAGCCCTCCTGTACTTGCAGCCTACTGACAGGATCCCAAAGAGGGGGTCCCAGAGGAACCCCACAGTTTCTCCCACTTCTTAAGGAAGGGAGAGAGAAAAGTGAAATCTCAGATGGAAACACGTGCCACCTAGGGCACTATGCTACAGGCTGTGTAAAGACCCCACGTGCCGGAGCTGGAGATCCCTGCAGCATCTTGGCACAGACAGCTAAGGAGGGGCATACAAAATTGAGTAGGTGACAAGGAACTGCCATTTCCGACAGGAGTGAGACAGCGGGACTCCTTTCGGACTTTCCCTCTTGCCTGAAGCCCATGGCTTTGCTGATCAGGTTGGCTTTGCTGACAAGCTGCCTGCAGGACTCGGAGCGCTGGCTGCCCTGCTGCTGAGCAGAGGACAGGTGGCTGGGATGCCACTTCTGCTCCTGAGCACATCAGATACATCCCCGGAGGAATGGAAAACACAGAGCAGCTCAACAACCACAAACAGATCAATAGGTTTTTCCCCATGGCCTCATCCTTTGGCTGGGTGGTGCTGTCAGAATCCTCAGCAGCCAGCAGGGCTTTTATTCTTTATGGGCAGATGCCCCCAGTCCTGGGCTGAGCGCACAGCTACGACTGCTCCTGTCTCAAATCCTTTGGGTTCTAATGCAGACACGGAGCACCCGGCTGTCCTTCATTCTTAATGCAACAGGTGCACACTGGGTGAAATTTTGACTCCAGAGACATGAGAGTTTTGATCACTTCCATTATCTCTGCGTGCTCCCAGAACTGAGGTGCTCATAGCCCGCGAGAGTCCTTGCAGGTCCATAGCTGGCACAGCCAGCGTTCGGCACAGCTCTGTTTTGGGGCACTGAGAGCCCTGACAGCCTTCCCCTGAGGGCTGCTCAGCTCCCTGCCTCCATCCAGCACCGGTCCTGAAGTGGCACGGCATGGTGTTTGCCTGTGGGGATCTGTGGGGAGGGGGCAGAGGTTGGCAGGATGCTCAGAGCCCCCGAGCCGTGCGGAAAGCTGCACCTTGCATTGCTCTAATGCTGCTCTCCTCTCATCTCAGCAGATCCCGGAGGTGAAGACCAGGTTCTCCCCCAATCCTTCTGCTGTTTTCCAGGCGCCGTCGCGGATCCTCGACGTGTGACGCTGTGCCTTCCTCGCACCAGGCAGCGGCACAGCGGTGCTTCCGACTGGATGCGTCTCTATGCAATTTTCACGAGGAGCGCTGGGATCAGAGAACCGACGGCAGCGGGAGCGGCTCCGGCGACTGGGGCTGGGCGCTCTCCTTCTGTGAGCGCACAGATTGTGAAGCGCTCCATTCAGAGCCGGCAAAGCACGCGGCGAGGCGTGACCCGGTTCCTTAGGGAGCGAGTTCCTCGCCGTGCCAGCCGGCGGCACGCTGGGAGGCTGACAGGGCGGCACAGCCGGCGAGGCACGCAGCAACCCTCAGCTCTGCTGCGGGCAGCGGGACGGAGAAATCACAAACAGGAGCGAGAACTAAAACCAAACCCCCAGAGCGGCGCGGGGCAGGGAGCACCTGCCTGACTTCTCAGCTTGTAGAGCTGCCTCCTGCACCTCTCAGCACCAGAGCCCAGCACGGGAGGGCTGCTCTGAAGCCACGGGGATGCTGGAGCCGCTGGCAGCTCCGCAGTGGCTGCGCTGGGGGGCTGTGTGCAGGGCAGCTGTGTGTGCAGGGCAGCTGTGTGTGCAGGGCAGGGAGCGCACACCGAGCTTCGGTGGGTGTAGAATACTTGTGGATTGGATGTAAATATTGCACCTGGATTTTACCTAAAGCAGTTTGTGATCCTTTAAGGAAGAGGACGTGCTTCTACTTTTAATAAATGTTAACTCTTTGCATATGCGAGGTAGAAAGTTTTGCCTTGAAATGCCTACGTTTCTGCCTGCCTACTGGTGATGTTAATGTTAGTGCTAGGAGCAACCAGAAGTGAATGTTACTTAGAAACTCTTCTTAAAGAAAAACATTAGCATAGAATGTATGACATCCCTCATTGCTAAGATAAGCCATTTTCAGTGGCATTGCTCTAGAGCTCATTTTTTTAGGTCGGTGCGGATTTAGCTTTTGCTGAGATATTGGAGGTGTGTTTTAAGAAACCATCCTTCTTAGCCTCCTTTTAGACCCCCATGGTTTTACAGTTGCTATCTCAGAGACTTACTGCAATATGATGAATCTGCTCCTTATTTCCTGTTTCTACCGATTATTTTGGAGAAAAGGATGCAAAAACTTTTCCTTTCTACATTCAGAAGATATCAATACGTTGGCTAAAATGAAAGGCAACGCCTCAGACTGAATGATGAGAAAGGCATTAATCTGAGATGACACGGGCTCATTACAGGGATTCTCTCTTCACCTTCCCCCAGCTGAGGCCAGTGGCAGATTTAACGAGCTCTGAGGATTCTGCAAACATGCAACTGGTGCTGGTAACTGATAAGAAGAGAGCTGGAAGCACGAGAGTATGGATGTTACACAGGATTCATGCAGAAAGCATCTTCTCAGTGCATTAGGTGAGAATCTGGCACTCCTGGCAGCAGTGGACAGGGGGGTGGGGAAGGGGAAAAGGTTGGTGTTGGCCTCTAGCCCTTGTTTTTGGGCCCCAGGATGTACGGTAACAGCAGTGCTTGCCAAAAACATTTTTCAGGAGACTCATTTTTCAAGAAATTGCACTCAAAACATTCAAACTCTGCTAAAGGTTTTGCATGGCACGCGTTTCTAAGAAGAAATGAATCTGCTCGATTAATCTCTTTGTAACGTTTTTAACTGTTTTGTTCAATTTTGGTTCATTTCAATCCTGGATTTTATTATCAGAAAAAGTGGGAAAAAAAAAAAAAAAAAAAAAAGCATTGTCTATCCTGTCTTGTTAATTCACCCTATTTCTAAAAACATCAACTTGCTTGTAAACAAACTGAGAATATAATGAGCTTGTATTTTATCAAAGGGATCGGATTTAATTTAATAAATTAAGACATATTTTGGCTACTGGCTCTTTCCCCATGCTTCTTTACACTGTAAGACATGAGCACTCAGCCTCAGCAGGACAGTGTGGCCCTGCATCCCCCCACCTGCAGCACTTCCCAACTGCTCTGGGTTCATATTCACATCCAGCAGAGTTCTTCAACTGCGAGTTACACTTCAGGCAATGGTTGGTTATCTGATGCATGGAGAGATGTTATTTAAAGGGGAAGTTTTATACCTGGAGCTCCGTAATTTACCACCTCTGGACCGTGCTTTCTGGTTTCATGCTGCTGTGCAGGGACAGCTGCTGTGAGGTCAGAACTCCTGCACGGCTGTGTGCTGGGGTGAAGCTCTGCTATGCCTCAGAACAGCACTCATTGCCTGAGCTTGGAAAGGTCACAGGCAGCACACTAATGACTGGTCTGTGTGTAACACAGAGCATCTTAGGTTGGAGGACCTCAGACATCATCCAGTGCCACCCCCCACTGCTCCCCCCCAGCTCAGGCTGCACAGGGTCCCACCCAGCCTGGCCCTGAGCTCCTCGAGGTATGGGGCACCCACAGCTCTGGGCAGCAGTGCCAGCAGCACCTTGCCCACTCTGAGTAAAAAACGTCTTCCTACCCCCCAACCTAAATTTCCCCTCTTTTAGTTTGAAGCCATCACCCTGTGTCCTGTCACTATCAGCCTCTGAAAGAAGTCGATTCCTCTCCTGGTTATAAGCTCCTTTAAAACATGGGAAGGCTGCAATGAGGTCTCCCCAGAGCCTTCTCCAAGTGTACAAGCACAGCTCCCTCAGCCTTTCTTCAGAGGAGAGGTGCTCCAGCCCTCAGAGCACCTTTGTGGCCCTCCTCTGGTCCCACTCCACATTTCCCTTTATAAAACTGTGCATTTCTCTTTACACAAATTTCTTGGAAGCTGCAAGCTTCCTACCTCTGCCTTATTCATACTGACTTGCCCTTTTCTGGCCACCAGAGCACCATACAAGGCCAAGGAGCAGCCCGGTGCACGGCAGAAGGCTGCAGCTGCTCAGCCCCGAGCTGAGCTCTCAGTGCAGTCAGCGCAGCGCAGGCCTCTCGCATCACCAGGGCAGCACGCAGGGACCCTCTGAGTGCCAAGGACTTCACCTCCCCAGGCAGATGGCCCAGTGTCTCCCAGGCATGCATTCCAGCTCAGCCTGATGCTTCCAGGCCCTTGCTAACAGGGAAGGAGCAGAGCAGGACACAGATATGCCCACAGATAGGAGCCAGCTGGCAGCTGTCGGCAGAGGCCCTTCTTGCCAGAAGGGATGGCTATAAGGGAGCATAAGGAAAGCAGGAGAAGCATGTGCCAGTGGGTAGAGCTCACCATCATCATCACATTTCCACCACCTCCACCAGGCTGCCCTTTTGCTGCAGATACGTTTATGAACATGAGGGCAGGGCATTACAAAACCCCTTATTCTGTGGACGTAGAGCAACGTAGTTGGAGTGACAGGTGGCAGACGGACAAACCCATCACAGCTAATAAAAGAGTTTATTGTAAACATATGTATCTTACACAATTATACAGTATAATACAGATAACATGAAGGATTCAAACACTCAGCATTACAAAGGGGTCACGTTTGTAGAGAGGTCTCTCACTTGTGCCCCCATCCCAAGCCATTCGCACAGGCACTTCTCGCCGACAAGATTTTCCTCCCACCACTTTTCAAAAGACATACTGCAAACATCTACATCCGAAGCACTACGACAAACGTGTTATTTTCTAACAGATTTTATTTCTCTTCAGCAAATGCTATCTATTATTAATGCAGCAGAATAGCCATCTGAAACGCCTCAGCAGCCATCTGCGGCAGCAGCACTCTGCTGCAGGGCTGCCCCACGCCTCCCACACTGATCCTGTTCTTTGCAGAACAGCAGGACATGGGCGAGGACAGCATGATTTGCAAACATGCCCACACTGAGGCTTCTCAAGCGCTGCTCTGGGCACTGAAATCTCAGAGCAAAGCCCACAGGAGCCGGGGGCTGGGAACGCATGCGTCATTGCAGCAGATCCTAGCATGGCTGCATTTGCCCAAAGGCTGTGTTTCCTACACACCCCATCGCAGCAATAGTGACAGATAGCTCCAAAACACCCTTTTGGAGAAGTCGTATCCAAGGAGGCTGGGCGCAGCATGGACTTGGAGCTCACAACATCCTACAAACAACACAGGGCCAGCAGCCCCAGCTCCCTGCACTTCCCCCTGCACAGCTCAGACATAATCACCACTGCTCAGCCCCTTCACACTGATCCCTGCAAAAAACCAACATCAGGGCTAAGCTGTGCACTTCCTGTGCTGGGCTCACCCCAGCAAGCCAGGATTGTCTTCTGAATCCAGAGCATCCAAAAATAGCATTTCCAGGGGAACCCAAATCCTCCTTTGAACGCTTTTTGGATTTCATCCATCAGTTTCCTAGATTCAAGGGCCAGGCTCTGCCACTTGTATTCAAGCAGACTCGACTGCCACATCAGCTCTCATGAACTAGGAAGGGGCCTGTCTACAGACCTTGGCTTTATCCAGGTTGGAGAAAACACGCAGCATCTCATCTGAGGCACACAGCACCTTCTGCAGTTCAAGACCTGCACCCAGCTGTCAGCTCTCCTGGCAGCCTGAGATCACCACCCATCTTCCACAGATCCTGCACACAGCTGGCATTACCACAACTTCTAGTCCCAAAAAAGCACCAAAAGGTAACATTTTGAAGATTTATGTTCCCACTCCAGGCCAGAAAAGATAACTGCAGTTTAATGTTTACAAAAGGCTTTGTGCTGTCAAAGCACAGCACCAATAGGAGCGAGAGGCCTCAGTACATCCCCTAGAGTGAGGTAGGTTATCCTGCTCCCCATGCTCAGAGATGGGGAAACTGAGGCACGGAGTGATTAAACCAAAGGCCATGCAGCAGACCAGTGACCCAGCTGAGATCAGAGCACTGGAGGCTCGGGCTGCTCGACCCATGCTCCACCCACCTGTCAATGCTGCCTCACGCATCTGAGAGCATGATGGTCCAACAGGAGTCCCACCAACTTGCAATGGCTTACTCACACTATAAGCAAGTACCAGGGGCTGGACACGGGCAGTGGGGGAGAGCAGTCTGGGTGTTGTCATCAAAGCTTCCTTGAGAAAGTTGTCACAAGCCAGCCTGCAGACACATCTCCTGCAGCAGTGACATTCCTGAGACAGAGAAGTCCTAGCACGAGTTGCTGAACTTCCTTGCAGTAGGGCTATCAGAGGAGGTCCCCACAAGCACTAAACCTCTGATTTCTCTGACCTTACCAGGCTTCTGTGAATTCAGAACTTCAGTCAGTGACACTTAAGAATCCAAGCTGGCTCTTAGTGAATGCTGTCAGAACAGCAAGGCTAAGCTGGGCACGTGTCTTCCAAAATTCACAGCAGCCTGGGGAGGCACTCGCTGGGCAAACAAAGCTTTCAGCCCGTCCAAGCTCACAGACACTGAATACCGTAAATACTCTTCACCTTTCTCATGCAGAGGCAGCCATACCCATCTTATCAAGCCCAACCACAGTTCATTCATATTGACTGAGCATGTGCCAGTCCACCCTCCTCTCTGAGGTGACTGAGAACAGTCAGATGGGACACCTCCTCTGAAGAGGCTTGGCATTACCTGCTTAGGTTACACCCAGCTGAGTTAGCAGACAACAAGCCCACCCAGCTGTATTCCCAGTCACACACACGATGCTCAGGGAGGACTGGCAGAACTTGGTGGGACCATCAGCCTTCCCCCACCTCAACCCTAAGCAACCAATTCATCCACTTGTTCAAATGACCCACCTTTAAAAGCTGACCTGGAATTCTCTCACATTCCAAGTGACAGAGCAACTGCTCTGCCCACTGCATGGGGAACCAACTGGCATGTAGTATGCATCAAAAAGCATAATTTCTCTTGGAAAAAAAAAAAAAAAAAAAGTTTAATCTCATCAGTACAGCTCTTGTCAGAGGGCCCAGGACTGTGGAGCCACTCATAGCTAGCAACTTGATGCAAACTGACAATGTTTGTTCAGCCACTGAACGTACACTTACCAAGTAAACACTGACATTTAACAACTTGATTTGGAACAGAGCATCATTTTGTTGCATTAAGGTGCATCTTTAATCGGAGGTAAAAGATAGGAGCCCGATGCTATAAATGTATACAAGTGTCCTACTGGATTTGTTATCCCAGCTTCGGTCATGAATTCACCTTTCCCATAGCATCTTCTCTGCTCTGTTTCATTGTTCCTCATTTAGTATCTTCATGTGTTTGTTTGTGAGGAAGTCAAGAAAGGGAATATTACAGATGGCTTTGTGAATATTCATCACTGTGATCTCTCTTGGAGTCCTGCAGGGAATGCATCACAATTTTTTTGTAACACAAAGACATAAAGCAGCAAGTCACTAAAGGTACTAATGGGGAAGAAAAAAATGCAAATCAGAAACAATGCAAATCAGGTGCCAGAGGAACAGACCAAAATGAGCCATTAAAATCTCATGGCACAGAAGAACCACTCCCAAGTGGCTGTGGGAAACATCTCGGGCACTGGCACAGCAAAATGAAGTGCCAATTTACATTATATATATTGAAGCACATATTAATAAGTTTTTATATTCTGTAGAGGCGATAGTTAAACTAAGCACTTTCTCACTGACCTAATTCTTCTAATTACATGTTGCCAAACATGAGTCAAATGCAATCCAATGGTTACCATAAAAATCAGTATCTGAGCCACAGAAGAGCGTATCCATGAAATACACTCTAGAGTGTTTTTTCATCAAGATCAACAGGATCTGGTTAAAGTCCTAGCAGGTCACGGGAAAGTTCATGGTAACCTCAACTGGATGAAGGA